AACTCGTTTAACGTCGTTCTCATTTCGAAATACATGTCAGTCTCCAATATCATACTTGTACATTCATAGTTATGGGTAAATTATATTTATTCCTGATATTATTTCCCACATCTATATTCTCAGTCCTCTTTTATCACTGTTTGAACTAGCGTGACCTTCAGCGTTGCGATGAAATTTGTAGTAGTTCGAAAGGTTCACCACAGATTTGAAAAATATTTTAGGTAAAGCATCGTAGAAATTCATTCTTTTAAATATATGATTCCTGTTTCATGACTGTTTAATAATTTGAGCCCATGTATTCGAAATTGCTTATCTTTTTTTATTCGGTGCACAGTAAATAAGTAAATTAATGAAAATATTCCAACCTTATTTAAGAAATTATTTGGGTATAAACTGCTCACGCATTGTCTACAATACTGAAAGAACTAAAATCATAGTCCATGAAAAAACACAAGTTGATTTTTGAACGTTGACCTTGAGGTGTGCGGCTCGTTGAATAAGCGTTTTGTTTTGTCACCATACCCAAACCGGTTGGAAAATTCGAACGGTTTTTGCAAATGGTTAAAGCCCAGACGCAACTTAATCGAGAAGCTCATAAATCCAATGATTCAGTTGGTGTCTTGTGGAGGTGCTTTGATGTGAACATAAGTCCAAATTGTTGGATATTCAGTGAAATTTCTCCATGAAAACATAAACCGAGAGGGAGAAAACCGATCGAATCGAAGCCGGACGATGGTTGCTTTTGATCCCAGGGGAGAAGAGTTGCACACAATCAATATGAGAGATAATCCGGGATGATTAAACGTTTTTCCTCACGCTTTCGTTTAGAAAATGATGGCTCAATTTAAAGTGCAGCTGAGGCCACGTGAATTGAAGCCGTTATGGAATGTCCAACAAAGCAGAGCATGTATTGATTTCAGCAACAAATTCAAATCGCGTCGACCGTCCATTTGACAGTGGGTTTTTCTTACTGATGGCCAACGAGTAATTCAGCATATGGCGAAAGCTGATCTACTGAGCTAGTTTTCTAATGAATTTCGTTTTGCCTATCAAAAGAAGTATATATTCATCCACCTGACGAGTTAGGATGGAAGTAAATACTGTGTGCTCTGTTATTGATCTCCTGTACACACCAAGCTGAATGTCGCAAAACGTTTTGCACTGATAAGGGAGATTTTCAGTAACNCAGTAACTGCTATTCTTTAAATGCATTCACAGAAGTCATATTTTTCATGAATGAATGTTGGTATATCTTTTCGCTTAGGGTTGGTAGTAAAAAACGGTTCGACCAAATCAAATATTATTTTTTTAATTTACACAGTGTCTGGATGCGTCAAGTTTAACTCAGTCAACTATCGCACAGTACGTGGGATTTTAATTTAATCTAAAACCCATTGGTTTTCAATGGTTAGGGTGTGCGGTGTATTGGGGGAAACTGGCAAATTGTGTTTGGCAGTCAACTTGGTGCACTTCATGCTAAAGTGACTGTTTCCAGAGCTCAAAAATAAAGAAGGGCAAATGGAACACATTACCTGTAAGAAGTCTGTGAGTTATTTTATTCAATAAATTGTAGCTACATTTTCTACGGTGACTTTATTATTTCACAACTGATGCACTAGCAACCATCGTCAAAATCGCGAAATCTTACATTCCAATGGCATGTCACTAATAGAAGCAAAGACATAAGTGGGTATTATATGAGATATGTTGCGTCCGATGTGGGGGAGCATATTTAATCCCGTGAATGAGGCTGGAAAAACGAAGCATTGAGAGGAACAAATGTAATGAAAATCAGGATGTTGCACGAGTTTGGTCAATATCGGGATATATATATATGCTGTGTTCAGTGAAGCAAATATGTCTTTTTGTTTTTATTCCTTTGATTTTGTATATTTCTTTATTTCTCATGTTCCTCTCTCCTGTAAACCATTTCTACTGTTTTCTGTCATTATTTTTTTTGAGTTGACTTCATGCTTGTTTACAAGCCGGTGAAATATATAGGTATATGTATTCTGGTTATACTGAATACGTGTCGAACCAACGAAAGTTCGGCGAATGAATGATATTATTGCATTTATATATTGTTTATTATTTTTATTATTATATATATTATTTTTATTATGGTGAATTGTTCATTTTGAGTTTATATTTTTTGATGAATTTCACTAAAAACCCGTAAAAGGTGTTATTGAATATTCATTTTAATGAAATTGAATTTGTAACTTGATATATGATCAATATATAGCTGTTATACAAACGGCTTTTGGTTGTCTGAAATCATGAATTTGATATATTTTTATGTTCTCTCAATTCATTAGTTGACATACTGTATATTTTGGAATCTTATTCCCGCCCTTTATTTTCACAGCCCGATGCATCAGGTCACATGATACCAATTGCAAATCTAGTCGATGAGTTCTCTTTCACTGTGCTAGTTCTACCGGGTCAAGATCCAGGACTTGTTCATATCGGATGGGTGACCAACTATTTCAAGTTGGCTAAACCTGCCGGCCCAGACAGCTCGTCTCTGTCTCTCATTCAAAATTTCCAACAACCCACATTTGATGCTGTGACAGGTCAGCCATATAATCCTACCATGGGTAACCAACTACAAGGGATCAACTGTGTCGAACTGTTCACTGTACGCCAAGTTGCCGTGTGCCTTTTGGAGTCTGATTTGACACTAAAGGTAAAATTATTTCTATCCTTCTTAGTGAATATTTAATGTTCAATAATGCTAAAAGCTTCTGCTCACCCATCTTTCCGCTATCGTTCATCAAAATTCCAGTCCGCCGTAGCCGAACGCGCCTCGTTTATGGTGAACCTTGGTCAGTTGCTAAATCAGATGGCTACCCCAGAGGATCTTGGTAGACGTATGAGTCAGGGATTGTCACTTACGTGTTGGGTAGATGTAGCTACTGGCACTTTGGGGTTCGACTTGAATGGCCGAGATACAGGAATACGTTTTCAGGTGAGTAACTCACCGTTTTTCTATGTTGCTTAGTTTTCACATATCTTGCCTAACGCATGATTGTTTTATTAGTTGTTCTTTTTAAAGTTTCAAACTGTAATCATTATCATTGGAATGGCTTGCCTAATAATTTGTGTGTATAACTGATTTTCTTAGCTTTATTTTACTCTTTGCAACAGCTTTCGTGAAACAGGTATGCTGATTTCATCCTGTTTGAACCAAAACCAGGTGTAGACCAACTAACTGTTTCTCTCCTGTTGACAGGTTGAACCTTCAACAAAGCTGTTCGGTGCCGTATTTTACCGTCCAACTGTACGGGAGGCTATCAACTTCGAATTTAGCAGGCGAAATCGTTATACCCTACCAATTACCGCTAGCATGCTAAGACCACCAAGGCAACCAAACAGCATGCCACCGCATAGACTCAAAGTGCAGTCACTCCAGGTAACGTTTTGTTTTTTCATTCGACTCACCCCAGTCCATTTCAATTATTGGAACCAAAACAGAGTTTTGTTTCTCAACATCGTATGTCAATTTTAAATTTTGTTTTTCGTTCCTAAATGCTGCTAATATTCATTCACGAATGTTTACTAGTCACCTTTCTTTCCTTTAAATTTCGTTTCTTTTGACAACTGAGTTTTTTGATGCACATAATTTATCTTTTGTTTATGCGGTATATTTTTTTCTAAATTAATACATTCATGGGATGCAAGAACCAACATGTTTTTAAAAAATGATCGATACGTGTTTAAAACATATAGAAGTGTATCACAAACGGTCGTATACACGACGACTTTACGTATTATCTTGATTTATTGCGATTGATTGACATCCCTTTAACTGTGTGATGAATATTGCTTGACGGAATTGCTCAGTTTGTCACGTTTCCCGAGACACAGGAAGGTTGAACTAATATCGTAGAAGGCCAACCAATTAATCAGTGTTGAACAACAGAGTCGTGCCACGCCTTCCATTTGAGAACTCCAGGGTTATTCCGACCGGGGTTAGGTAATTTATGCAATTGTCGGAAACAGTGGTGGTTATGCTCCTGTTCACCTTATCAATGCTGAAATCAAAAGTATCACTACTTCCTTTCTATTATGTACCTGTTTGCTTTTAGCGTTGGCACTGGGCTCGTGTCCCTCCAAGAACGGTGAAGCAGTATAGTATGAAAATAAGTGAGCAACGTGGGTGGAGTACCATTCTGGAAGATCCTGTCTCCGAGTTAGCTGTGCAGTTACCCGAGTCTGGACGATGTGTGACCGCACTGGAACTGGACGAAATGCCACATTTACTCAAGTAAGGAACTGATAGGTGGAGGCGATTGACAACTTAACTGGTCATTCAGTGTAACTTCACTCTAGCGCCCAGAAGATCATAATCGGTGTTTGTTATCAATGAAAATCAAATGGGCTGATCGAAACAACATTCAGAAGTATAGTGTGATAGGGGAAGTCACGATTCACTCTCCTTTGTGATTTACTTTATGTGGTTTGCTGCTTCGATTATGATTACTAGCATTTTTGCCCTTCCCATTGAGACGTAAAAACAGTACCGCTTACCTATCTATATTCTAGTCTCATCTCATCTCTATCTCATCAATTTTACTCTATTCTGCAGTGAGTTTCCGCTTGCATTGGTCGAAAGTTTTGTGAGTATACTAAGGTGCTTAATTTTGTGGTTGAATTTTGTTTGAACTGAACTCGGTCTTTAAACCTCTCATCCAATTTCAGGTTTCACTCGCACACCTTGGAATTGTATCAGGCCTTGTGCTGTCACGCCAACCACAATGTTGCTCAAAGCCTTACACATCACGTTGACGCTCATCAACTGTTGCATGTAATAACGGCCGCTGGTGAGTCTAAGAGTTCATTCAAGGTTCATTCATCCTAACCCCTGGTACAACAATTCACGATCCAACAATACACTCAATCGCGCAAAATTTAAAGCACCATTTAATTGATTAACGGGCTCATATGAACTCTCAAGACCTTGCAGAGTGGAATGTTCACTCAAACATTCGAGAGCCCTCAAGTTGACCTCTTGTTCCGGGTTGAGTGACCAAGTTCCGTAATATATATACATATGTATAACTATAAAGATACACCACCAAAATAACCATGGGCTAATGAAAAATATAGGTACAAAAATGGGGAAAACAAAAAACATTCAACTTGGGGGAGGATAATAACCTATTTGTTTGTTTACTGCACGTCATTTTTAGTTTTCGTTTATTTTTGGGATTGTACACAGGAAAGGATGCGCTCACGCCACTGGCTTCCGTTCGATGCCATATCCCGCAAAGTCTCCAGCCAAAGACAATCTGAATCTTTGGGACCCCAGACGGGGAACCGGGAAGCCCCAACGGAAGCCAGATCCGAGAACAGTCTCTTAAACCCTTTGTACCACTTCATAGCCTGTCCAACTAGCTGTTTCCTTCAGCCTGAACCGATGTTTGCGAATAGTGCACGGTGTGTGTGTGGTGGGTTCCTGCCAATCTTGCAATAACACTTCGCACTTTGAAGATGCGAAGGACATATCATAGCGAGTAACCTCAATTGCCAAACGATTCAGCGAATCTTGAACCGTTGGTGCGTTGTCACCCAGTAAGGCAATATCATCAGCATACTTTAAGTCTACGACTCTGTCTCCAGGAAGAAGCTCAAAGTTCGGTAATATATTGCAGCATTGGTCAAATATGAACGAGCACCTTCCGCCTACGCGTTACAATTGAGCGGTGTTGGTATAGTGTCTGTCCCAGCTCGCTGATTGGACGACAATCACAATGTGTGCTTGGATTTCAGCGGCGAGAACTGAAAAAATGTTCCTCAAGCATTGAATGAGTGGTGGATATGATAGGTCTACAAAGCACGTTAAGTTCACTTGGGTGCATAGGTTTCATACTACGCAAGTGTTCTCCGTGTAAACATGTTGAGTGCATGTTCCTTGATCTTCGGATGGAGTTTTTATGAAGTAGTTCCAATGTCTGCAAAACTAACCAATTTTTGTAGTTGATTGTTCTTGTCTGCCGGATTTAACTACTAATACTAATTCAATATATTGAAGTTATTTCAATTATTATTGCGCATATAACTACGAAGATTTGTCTTTAAAAGCCACTTACAAGCCGAATATCCCAAATGGCTTTCTTGAATGCATTTATACAAAACGTGATTAAAACAAAGGCGTTTTCATCAGCGACGGAATAAATGATTAGTGTATAATCTTCATTACACTTCGATTTATCTTTGCTTGGGTGGTTCTTTCATTATACGCAGACTAACAATAGTGTTTAAAACGATCTTTAACCTCATTCTATATGATCAGCGAACATTGAGTATTTCATTCAAGGGGTTTTAGCCATTCGATTGCTTTAACTGGACTTGAACATCAAACAAAATTGATGGATTGTATTGAAATACGAGCAGATGAGATAGAAACCGTTATGCTCAATTGTAACACAGTGTTATTTTCGCCCTGAATATCTCTCCATATCGTTTTAATTCTCTCACCTACTTCGCTTTTATAGATATTCCTGGCCCACTACGCTCTGGATTTGTTGAGCTCATGCTCACTATGCATGTGAGCAGCCATGTAAAGTTAAAGCAGGTGACCGGGCGTGAGTTTATAGTGCCCCTAAATGTACTAGGCGCCAGCAAGATAGAGTCTCTTGATTACGGTCTCTCGGATGAACTTGTTGACGAAGAGGGGGACGAAGCTCACTGCGATCTAGACCGAATTCCAGCAGTTACAGAACATGTAAGCATTCGTCCAGCTTTGAAGACAGATCCACATCTGCTGATGTAAGTTTCGCTGATTGGTGTTTGCGTGAAATTAACATCTGCCCTCTTTGCGGTAGCAACCTTGGATTAACCGATTAGCCGATTCGATTATTAAGAGGCACTAGGCAATCTTGGTGGTTTTGGGTGTAGGTTTCACTCCCAAAGTAACAAAAGTGTATGTGAAAAGCTGTAAAGCATCAATCTTGTCAAATGCCATATTAAGTGCTCATTCATCTTCACTTCATTGTCAGTGAACAAACACTAATGTTCGAGCCGCATTGTAGGACTATCGAGATTAAGAAATCGCGGCGAGTGCCTGACCACCATAGATTTCGGTGGCTTGAGAATGTTTTCAGATAGGCCTCATCAGTGTATTATGTTTTCTAATGAAGATAGTAACCGCAACAAGAGCAAGGGCAGCCAAGTTAGGACCTGAACTGAAGTGAGGAAGTTGTTTACTGAAGGATTTGGTTATTTGGATCACCTTAGTTTCTCTTGGTGATGATCTCCGAACCAATCTCGTCACTATTTGGAGACAATGAGTGATGTACCTAATTCTTAATCGATGGTTTTCGTAAATATGTATTTATAATTCCTCAGCTTTTATTTTAATTTTACTGGTTCTCCAAATTGGTAAGCGAAAGACCTGTGTACAAAAGAGTAAAGGGCAAGCGAAACTAATTTATTTTTACAGCATTAACCAGAAAAAGGTTATGCCTGAACTGTGTTGCCTCCGAAAAGCCGGTGGAATTTAAGGAAGGGATGAAGTGTCATATATGTGCAGCGAATAAGCGTAGTTAGTGGCCTCATTGCTAAGTGGGCAGTATGCCTGTGAGTTACCGGTTTTGATCCTTAATGATGCCTACAACAATGCCCCGCAAAGCTAAAAGCAACTGTGCAATGCTTCCCATTTTCTCTGTGTACATTGCCTTGGTCATAAGCATATCAAATGTGACTGTTATGATCGTAGTCTTTCATTTGTTCATTTTTTAATTTACCGAGGAACATCCCTGTTTCGATGTGTGATACCTTTGGGGTATGTGTTATGACCCGTACTGGAAAAATTCATCTCTAATTTTTTCATCCTTAATGATCACTACAAGTCATAGGCTATTGCACCGCAAGTTTCATGCACGCAATGGTATTTCTTTCAATTAATTATCGTTTTTATTGGTTGGTTTTCTCGACATATCCCGGTCTATCATCATGAAAACATTTATTGGTATCTGATACTATTAGGAAACTAGATAACTAATGAGCTAAGAGCTTTTAGCTTTTTTGTATCAAAAATCGTGAAGATTTACCAAAGTTGATGAACGTTTGTAAAAATCATTTTTTACTTACTATGTTTATTCGGAGATTCATGTTTCGTCGTGCATAAGCAAAGGTTCATTTATAATGTTTGTGCCTTAGTTTACCTAAAAATATCAAAGGACTTTGGTTTTCCATTTAATAAGAATGCATCATATTTATGCTCATTATTGTTGTTCCAGTCCTGGAGCTGATGGTACTGGAAACATCCCTTTACCCACATCACAAGAAATGGGTAAAGAAGACACTGCACTTTCTGCCGCCATGTCTGCTGCTGGTCCGGGAGGTTTACTGAAATTGGCTGATTGCCCGGATTTCCCGATTACTCAGCTACGAGATTTGTGTCTGAACTGTCTGGTGGACTGTGTCAATAAAGGTGGGAATATTCGTGATCCAGCTGGGGGCAATTTTGAGCATCTTCTATTGTAAGTTTTTCTTTAAACTCATTTAGCTAGCTGTTCTGTTGCTAGTGATAGTATTCCCCACATGCGATGGATAAATACGAAAGTCACTTCTTGCGTATATCCGTTGGTTACCGCGCACATAACTTGTGTCTTGTATCTCTTATACTTTTATGGAGATCATAATAGCCTCGGAACGGTTGTCACCGGAATATTTTTCTCGGTTTTCACTATCTTCCTCTTTTGACAACCGCTATAACCATAACTGAACGTTTTTTTAGTTGAGATTAAGTGTTACTCAAAATCTTATTGTTTCTACACACAGGCCCTTGTTGCGAACTGTGAACAGCCTGTTGGTCATGGGAACATTGGATTCTACACATTTAAACACATTACTGGCTATCTTGGAACCACAGGCGGTTAAGGACACGCGAAATCTGAGTGGTAAGTGAAACGAGTTGACCCGTCATTCTCTAATTCTGATGGGTCACGAAGCTTATATTGATTGATGGATATCCGGCTCAACCAACGACTCATAGGCACAAGATAGAGATTTTACTTAAGGAAGCTGCTATGCTGCATGATTGCACCAAGCAGATTTATATAATATGCCTCCACTTAACACATTGTTTAGGTGTTCAAAATTTCCAGAAGTTCCCGAAACTAGACTCCCCTGTTAGAGAACACAAAGCGATCTGGTACTTCTAAATAACCGCAGATCTCAATATATCACTGTACATATTCCTTAATTGCATAAGTGGAATAAACATATTTTGGGACCACTATGAGTCACCTTCATAGAAAACGTTTTCTAAAGACATCAGGATTGCTATTTTGTTTGTTTCTCGAAGATTCATTCCCCCGGATGTCAGACTAGATAGCACCAAACTACTTAAACGCTCAGTCATCCTGAGGAATGATTATACGAAGGTTCTGGTCGTCAAATGTGGAGATGGAAAAGGATGCGCCTATTGGTGATATTCTTACAATCAGAAATGTGGGTCTACGAAAATAAAACAAGAGATAATAAGGGAGTTCGACGGTTCATTTCTTTACATTATGCAACGCCATCTGAAAAGAAGAATAGTACTTTTCAAAAGACATTTTAGGTGATATTTTTCATGCTAACATTTGCCGCCGTCTACCTTAATTCTACAGCACCAGCTGGTTTGGGATGCACACACCATATTCTCACCCTTTCGCCAAGGTTTCGAACATAAATATTCCTTCGTTTAAACCCACTACTTATATCGCTCTTGTTCTGGGAGCTTTTGACTCGATCAGCTGTATAAAACTGTGGTACTGTTTCTCCTTCAAGACTTTGCTGGATAATTGTGCTTTGATATACGAACAATGGAAACCCATTTCGAGATCGCGACTTTTTCTTACCCGAGTTCACCACGAAAAGTGATGTTCGTCTGAGTTGTCGTCTCTCTCTCTGTCTCCTTTTCCATCCAAGTTCCAGATGTAAATGATTCCAGAACCGACCCTGTCTTCGTGCAAGGATAATGGATTTGCTGTACTTCCACTTATCCGGCTGTCCAATCTAGAATGTTTGGAAGGTGGTGTCATTTTTAGTTAAGATCCAAGTCTATTAAAAGCCTTTGGGATAACCTGAATGTTAGTGTAGCTATGTTTGGCACCTGCAAAGTGTAAAATGTCTTATCGGGAATGGGGAGCTACCAGTCTTAGTCTAACATAGGTCTAACATAGAGAAAATAAACGAATTCAAAATGATCGGTTACTGTTTGCCAACTTGAGACTCCTTTCTGTGAAGGTTTGAGTGTCATCTGCGGTTAGCCGGCCGGTTCTCCGGTATGACATGGCTGCTTGTGGGAACAAGACAAATGGAGACCATCAATCCACGAACGGTACAATCTACACCACGTTGTCCGACTCTGACGGGATTACCGGAGGAATAACACCCAGGCAAGACCAAGAGTTCCAGGTAATCGCTTTCGTGCAGTGTAGCAAGTGTTCAAACCACATGGATTACAGTGGCTGATACACGTGTTTTACATGCCACGTTATAGGTTGTTTCGGCGGTCAATGCCTGTATTAGTAAGTGATGAGTGTTTAAAGTCACGAGTAGTCAAAATAAAATCTGGCATGCAGTTATAAATACTCTGACCACGGGACTTGGACAAATTGTACCTCCGGCTTAGTCCAATAGTTGATTAGAGGCACAAAGTTATATGATTCAGTGACTGGGTTGGAAGATGAAAACTGTGACAATATATTTCTATGAAACACAAAATGGATTTAAATTAAACAACTTTACGCAACCAAAATAAAAATATCCGCTCGCGAAGCTGTACCATGCTTTTAGGTTTTAATCCAAAGTTCAATAATATTCCCATTTCAGTGCCATGAACTACACAATTTTCGATTAAGCTTTGGCCAAAACCCCCTATCCTTTAGCCTCGACATACAACCTTTAGCGGTACCACTGTAGGTGAGACAGATCGAAACGTATCGGAATATGCTGACGTAAACGAATGTTAAAACCTTTCATTTTCTATAAATGTTGATGTTGCAAGGCTTGGTTAAGAAACGAGGTGTGGCGACAGTATGCTGCGCAGCTGGCTAGCGTAATGATTTTAATTAGCGCCCTACATACTGATTTGAGGATTCTTGACCAATGTTCTCGTGTCGCTAAATCATTTGCACATCTCGTATAGCTTCATTGTTTTCAGTGAACCAATAATAGTAATAATACGCCAATTAAATAATTATAAACGCTTACCTGCTTCTACTTACTGATCGCCTCTAAAATGGGTAAAACAAGGGACTGTATGGTGGAAGAAAAACATTTGGTGGTTGGTATAAAACTGCGCATCCAAAACCCTCTGATCAACGGGCGCATTTTTAAAGATAAAAACAGCTGGAACACCCAATCGTTCCGTAATGATTAAAATAGAGCGGCGTGATAGAAAACTATGGAAAACTTGCCAAGAAACCTTTGCATGACATTATATTTTAGGATACCAAAAACAGATTAAACAGATTATTTTATATTCAAGTTGGGTCCTTTACCGAAAGAGAGGCTTTGAACGGCTTTACTGCCCACTTCTGAGCGTCCGTAACTACGAAAGTACCATATTTTGTAGTTGATTTCGTCACTATTCAGCCTCACTTACCCGATCGCTTTAACCAGTCGGCATATTCCGCTCGTTTTGCTTCGACAGTTTCCAAGGTCCGTCCCACGGGCTGGATAGTCAGCTTCCTAACCGAATAGATATGTCCATCCAGTCGGTGTTTGAACACCGCTGTCTACGCACCATTGCACGAATCTGGTGGGGTAGCCGGATGAGCAATGCTGTGGTTAGGCGCAGAGTTTTGGGTATCCGCGATCGCCACTGGAGCAAGTGGTCGACCTGCATAGATTACGTCGGTTGGGGCATGTGCTACGCATGTCACCAGATAGGTTACTGCGGCGAGCGATGTTCACCGAAGCAGACACCGAATTGTAAAAAACCAAGGGTGCTCAAGCTAAGACCAGTCACAAGGGTATGAAAACCCTAACCAGGAGACCTGGTCATATAGGTCCTGTTAGGCTCCCTGGTTGGAGACCTCGGGATGATCGTAACCGATGGTTAGAAACACTGAGTGATATGGCTGGGTGTCGTAAACAGTGGCGTTCGTGCATCTCAATTTCTTTGCAACCTTAGACCACTAAACTTCTCCATTTTCTGTTCGACTCCACTTTCAACTTTCCTGTCTTCTCCTATTCTTCATCCAAATGGGCAGCCAAAAGACAGCAACCAAAACTGGCGCTCGAATATGCGTGGTTAATGGTTGTACAACCTGAATTGAACTGATCTGTCCATCCAGCCACCGATTAATCGAAGTTTTGTTGATCAGTGCGTCCGAGAAGTCCCTCTCCGTTCTTTTCTTCACCTGCCTCAATGTGGTTGTAGGGTTCTCATTGACTACTCATCGTAAGATACAGGTTTGAGCGTTACCTTTCGATCCGTGGCTGTAATAACACGAAGTTTTGATATTATTAACGAGGCGTTTGGCAACTTCTTTCAAATCGTCCCCTTTGCATGCACATTAAAGTACTCCGTCGGTCTCTCTCGTTTGTGAAGCCGTTGAGCCTTTACTATCCATCCGATTTAACATGCTCCATAGTGCAGCTGCTCATAACGGAGAGTAAGGTATAACATGTTACTTCCACTTATTGCGGTGCGTTTTTCTATCCTCATTTCCTGACGAATCGAATGCCGCATTACGGTACTACAAGGAAACTCTAGAATGCGCTACTTCTGTGAGTAAAAATCTAAAATGTAATACAAACAGTATATTGTTTTACATTCACAAGCTCTGAAATACTATTATCAGTTCATTAATGCTGCATAATTTGATTCAACGACAACGGTCGAGCCTGAAGTCTAAAGCTCGATGGGAAAAGATGTACTAAAGGCTGGCTTTTATGAACGGTGTTTAATATCCTTGGTCTAATAATGTATCCACTTTTCAAAAACGGAGTTAACTTTGGGCGGAAATATGGCCCCGCAGCTTTCCTTTTTTATTTTATCACTTTTTGATCTATGTCAAGGCTTGTCAATGCAAAACGATATACCGTTTGTGTTGCAGTTGAAAGTTTTACTCACAGCTGTGTCACATATACGGAAAAACTGAAACTGCACGAGATATGTCAAATGGTTTGACAATACGGGGGCATCGTTTGAACCCCTCCAGGCAATATGTGATATAGCGTGCGACCACCAGATGTCATTCTTTAACCAAGCTTGGCAACATTACCATTTGTAGAAAATTAGTTAGTTTAACATTCGTTGACGTCAGTATATTCCAATACTTTTCAATCTTGACTAACTGACCATCCTTCAGACTTTACCTTCACGCACATTCGTCAGCTCTTCCAGTCAACCATACGCTCGGACACATTAGACTCGGATTTCGCTCTTATTAGAGCTCATCAGTAGTGCATATCCACCATCCCGTCCGGTATTTGAACTCTGGTCTATCGATGGGTCTCACTTACAGTGGTACGGATAAAGTTTGTGCGTCAAGCTTAAAGGACTACGGGTCAGGGCTAAAGAATTGGTTTTTTTTGCTAAAGCTTGAATGGAAAAGTCTTATTATCTTACGCCTTTTCATTCATCATAATCATCTACAAATGTTTGATCGTCTTTCCGTACTAATTATTTTTATTTGCAGCGTTGACGTAAAGGAGAAAAACTGCGAAATGGTTCTACATCCTCAACGATATTTTTGGCTTTCTACGATATGCTAATTTTTGTTTAATTTTACCCTTTCTATTCTTTGGTAATACCACTTATTTCCAGCATCTATCAGTGGAAGTTTGTTGGACTTTCCATTACCCGAGAGTGTGAAACTGGAGATCTGCCGCCTATTGCACAGTCTTTGTGACTTACAATTACGTCACCGTGTGGAGCAAGTAGTAAAGTTCGCCAGCTCGTTTGTCAAGAGCTTGCAGTCGGTAAGTTTAGATTTTTGACACTTATTTCATGTTAGCTAATCCATACGTTCTACCCATTATAAACACCACTAATATATCCTGTGTTAATCTTTTTCTTTAGGATCAGTATTCGCGATACATGGCAATCAAACTGTCGAATCTTCCTTCGTCTGTGGCCGCTAGACGTACACGAGAGTTCCGTTGCCCAGCCGCAACCCAAATGGCTAGTTTGCTCCGAATGCCCGGTCCAGGCGGTCCGACTGGTCGTTTAGAAGAGAGACCAAATGCTCCTCCATCTGAACAAGCTATTTCAAGCGATTTGATGGCCGATGAAGAGGAGATGGAAGGTGAAGAGACTAATCGTTGTGCAGAGGAAGTAAAGGTGAGTACCTTTTACAAGCAAATTCACATTTTGCAATTCATCATTTTGTGTGCATCGGGAGATTTCCCAGAAAGAAAATAAATTTTCAATGTATCTCAATCGAATGAAAAGAACCTTTTGTTAACTTCGTAGTAATAATTGCTTATTTGAATTCCAAATAAACCTTATGCTTGTTCGCGAAAATATATAAGCACGGCTTTTGTAGCTGCTACATTACTGTCCTCATAAAATGGCTTAATTTCAAGAACACAAACCATGTCCATTACGGAATCTAATTTTTTCTGGCATACTTATGATTTAACACCTGCCTTTTACAACGCCGACTAAGTTAGTAAGAACAGAATTCCCTTTACAACTATACGACTCTTTCAAGGAGTTTTCTATTCAAATTACAAACTGGAACCTATATTCATGCTAAAACTATTCCACCTTAGTTTTCTGTCGCAATCCACAGGTATTACTGTTTTCTCGCTGATAATTATTCGGAACAGACGTATTCCTACGCTGACCTTGNGACATACGTATGTTATATTTTTTCGGTTTTGCTCTTGAGTTTTTGAAAATCTTTGATCAGAACCAGGACAATGAAACCTAATGTTTGCTTATATGAACCAAACTGAGCACACATTCAATTTTTTATTCAGGATCTTCTGCGAAGATTTCACAAACACCTAACCGATAAACTGGGAGTAATGCGACCAGAAGCGGAAGAATCTGGTTCAGGTGATCAACTGGGCTCTGTCTCAATGACCGATAGTGGCTATAGCGAATCCGGCCGCTTCACATGCACGTTAACTCGTGCACCGGACAACCTCAGTTTGGTCTCCTTTGCTCAAGTTTATCCGCCGGATGATTTACAAACCGCCTTATCTCGATTGCCCCAAGTCCCACCGGGGATGGGAAACCCAGAGGAAGGGTCTGGTATCCCGCCATGGATACTGAAATCGCTGTGGACATTAATTACCAAGAAAGGAAACAGCGAGCCGACTCCGGAAGAGCATGAAATGTTACGTCGTCTGATCGAAGAGGAAAAAGCAAAACAAAACAGCAAAAGTGAGGTTCAGTATTAAACTTTAGATTTGCCGTTGATTTTCTTATGGTGTATGTAAGGGTAAAAGTTTGCTATCCATTAAACATGTTTATTTCTTCAAACCAACGATTCATATGAACCCGGAACTATACATTTTCAACCTCTAAAGAAATTGTTTTAAATTCAAGTGAGTCTATTGTAAGTTCAAGGGAATCTGCGTTTTGGGTTTCATACTATAGGAGTGCGTAGAGCCAAAAGTACGCATTTTTGACGAGTCACAGCAAAGATACAGTGCTCTCTATCGACCATCGCACAGAACTGTGTAAGAAAATGAGACAATATTTAATTTGTATCTAACTTTACGTGACTTGTAAGTAGTGGTCTGGTATAATTGATTTTGATTGATTTGAACTGACTATCCTTTGTATTTCATCTTCACGCACAATCCTCAGTTCATCGATTCAACCATACACTCGGAAGCACTAAAACGACTAGTCTATTGCTTCCGAGTGTACAGTTTAAGCAGTGAACTGAGAATTGTGCGTGAAGGTGAAGTCCGAAGCATAGTCAGTTCAAATTAATCAATATTTAATTTACTCCATTTGGTTGATTTAGTTTAATCGCC